ATATAATATAGATTAATTAATCAAAGATAAAATATAGTTTAGATTAATAAAAGTAAAATTGTCTAACCTCATGGATGAATTTCGACGAGATATTTGAGGAATTATGTAATCGTTTAAGTGCAACAGTTTGATATTGGCGTTTCTTCAAAGAAGAAATTGTTTCCGGGACATGTTTGATCTTCTTTGAAGTTGCGTATATAGAATCGGAGCTAGGTGTACGCGTACTCCGTAGAGAAGTACTGGAATCATTCTAAATATGAATTAATTGTTATCGTGAATATATTATAGAATTATTATAAAATTATTATATATAATTATTAAAGAACAATTATATATAATTATTATAGAACAATTATAAAACATAGAATACATTATAAAAAGTAATAATATACATATGCATACCTTTTTTAGGGATCGAAAAAGCCCTTTGATTCTTGCTATACTATCTTTTCTTTTCATCTTCAAACTATTAACCCGACTACTAATTTTACTACTAAATCGTGATGACTAATCAAAATAAAAACATAAAAGACAAAATAATTTAGTAATCACAAGATGAAAAAATGATAAAATGAAAAAATGATTTAAAAAAACATGATAAAAAAATGATAAAATGAAAAAATGATTTAAAAAAACATGATAAAAAATACAAACCTTTACAGAATCAGTATCATTATCAGTTACAGGTTTACATTTTAAAGTTTTACGAGCTTCAAAAATCATTCTCATTTTTTTCATAAATTCAGACAAGACAGTATCCCAATCATCTTCGGATAAATGCACATTATGACTTTTAACATAATCAAGAATTATTTGTATTTCCATATTTGTTACCCATTGTTGTAAAGTACCATCCAAAATATCATTTGACCAGCGAGCGGAATACATTGAAGAAAAACCACCCGAACCAAGATCTTTTAAATGTTTAAACTGAGGGAAAGGAAACCATTTCAAGAAATTTTGATCATTTGAAGAATTTAGTTGAGATTGACGAATTAATTTATTCAACTCAACATTTCTAGTAGACCAATTTGGAAAATTTGCTTCAAATAAATAAGATTCACAAGAACGACACCATTTACCACTGGTATAAGGACGTTCACATTGAAAACAAATATCAGGCAGTGATAAAGTATTATCATTAACATCAGCTCGAGAACCAAAAGTTTTTCGAATCCCGTCGAAAAACCAGTTAATGAATTTTAA